AATTTTGAGATGTCCTCATCGGTCCATATCCACACTGAGGATCAAGGAGCAAAACTCAAATATATATATATATATATATATATATATATATATATATATATATATACATAGTCAATCGTTTTAAAAACGTGGCATTCCTGACCTGGTAAATATTGACTGCCTGGAAGGGAATTTTGTGAAGCTAACCACACGAGCCAACTTCTGTCTTCCTCGCTCATTGGAGCATATTGATGTGTTCACTTCGTACAAACCCTTTACATTTACAAACTTCTTACAAACCCTTTACATTTCGAGCGTTTTGAAGGTTCCGCTTGTATGCCAGATGGGCTGCACGCTGGAAAGCAGCACTCGCGTCAAGCGTGTTCACCATGGCGTGTTTCGTTTTTGTGGTGGTTGTTTTCCGCTATCGGTTTAGTCGGTGTAACTGTTCCATTGAGTATTTACGTCAAAGTGTAGGTCGGCACATTTCAAGGTTTCCCCCAACGTGCAAGATGAATAGATTTGTCACACTTTGTTTAGACCGTTCTGTCTTCTCATGGCGAGCGCTTAAGCGCCATCAGGTAAACTATTTTGCTTCCAAGATTTTAACCAAATCCTGTAAAAGGAAGGAATTCTGGGACCAGAGCTCGCACTAAGCATTGCTTGTTATGTGAGCCCTGGCCCTACCATTCCATCGCAAAATGTCAACCAAGGGTAGAATTTGGTGGCAAAAGTCGTGCGGCAATGCTCGACACAATCCTTCCTGCCCTCTGCCGTCTCCTGAGCTTTAGTGCGGCCGCTGCCACCGGCCGCAGGCCATAGCTGTCAAGGGCAAACAGCGAGCACCTATAAAGCGACTCGAGCCCACCCCACCACGGATGGGTGGATCGGAAGGCATGCGCTCTAACCAGCGGAGCCATCGGAACGGACAAAAGTGAGATGAGGCTGTACATAAGTAACATTATAAGGTTTCGGTTAATTCAACATGCTTAGCTGCTTAACAAATTAAGGACTTATATTGAGCACAAATCTTCCAGTTTTTTATTTGCATTGCAATGTACATCGATTCGAGCTGCGTCGAATCACATAAATAACTCCAGTCCTCCAAAATGGCGTGGACACGTTACCGTTGTTTGCATTCAGCGATAGTGCACTGACAAGACATCGTGACAAAATAACGCAAACCATTGCAGGCTGCAGAAATTGAGACATCGCTTAATAACAACATACCAAAGCAGTGGACTACAGCCCACAAGACACGTGAATGCTGTAATTAAAAACGTATATAATTCAACAAAAGCAAAAATACATTAATACAGGAAGGTTACAAACGCTGGGTTCTGAACGTGCGGATTAATGAGTCAGCACTAGTAGCAGATGGCTGGACATGCCATCAAAGCTCGATTTTTCAGCTCCTTTTCAGTTCAGGAATATTTCTTAGAAATTACATTTCACATTCATACAATCCTTAGCTCCCACCTATGTGAACTGCATCCACCTGCGTTCCAAAAGGTTGGGGAGGCAAACTCATCAAACTCATTGCAAACTGGGTAACTGCTTACAATGCAGTTGCTCTCTCTCTCTCTCTCTCTCTCTCTCTCTCTCTCTCTCTCTCTCTCTCTCTCTCTCTCTCTCTCTCTCTCTCTCTCTCTCTCTCTCTCTCTCTCTCTCTCTCTCTCTCTCTCTCTCTCTCTCTCTCTCCCCCAGAGCATTTAAAGATAGTATTTATGAGGGAATTTACTTGAATACGCAACAGAAATCGGATGGTGAGTTTGACGTTCATAGAAATTAGGAAGTTGTATTTGAGGTAAGGATCAGTCGTGGCCGAAAGAAAACAATTTTTCTGAGCCCCCGAAAATGCTACTACAGTGTTTGACGGTCATCTGGGGCACACAGCATTGCAAACGCATCACATTCTCCATGGGGAATGTGCTCAATATGTGCATATCTTACAAAACGAGGTAAAGTGGAGCTTGATGAGCTGATTAGACAAGGAGCGCTGGACGAGTCAAATGGATGTTAGGAGCTAAACAGCAAACGGTCGTCACCGATATGCCTGATGCGTCAGCGCGATGTCAAGGCTGGATTCTCTCTGGAGGGACGGCCGCACAGTCGCTTTAGCCGGTTTTAGCCAAGGAACTGGGTCCCGGTTGGAGGCTGGGGTGCGCTGCTTCTAAGCCGGGGCGGGATAATTGCTGGCTGAGGTGGTCACTGCGACCCTCGAGGACCTAGGTGCTGTGTTCTTCTTTCACTGGAGCTTTTTCCCCCAGCAGCTCGACATACCCGGGTGCCAAGCACTCCTCCGACAACGGCTGATCGATGACATGTCATGACATGTCATGACATGACATGCGATCTGCGTATCACAGACATGCAAATCCGAGTAGCGCACAATGGAAGACCCGGAACCGGACTCTGCTCCTCCAGGGGGGCTGTCGGAAGACCCGGGTGCTGCATTCTCCTCCAACAGCAGCAGACCCCGGCGCCGTACTCTCCTCCTGCAGCAGCCACAGACGCATGTACCGCACTCCCCCCTCTAAGAGCGACAGACCCGAGATCCCCACTCTTTCTTTCCAGCTGCTGCAGACCTAGGAGCCCTACTTTCCTCCTCCAGCCGTAGCAGACCCAGGCGCCGCACTCCAGCAAAGGCAGACCCAAGCGAGCAATCCAGCGAAGCAGAGAACCCGGACGCGGCACCCTCCTCTCCAGCAGCGGTAGACCCTGATACGCACTCCAGCAGCAGCAGACCAGAGTCCACATTTCCAGACCCGGTAAACCAGAGCATAGGCGTGGGACATTTCAAAAAGTGTGGGAGAGGGGGCATGCTCAGAGTATATTTGAAGAACTTTTTCTAGGAAGCAAGCCGGGTGATCGGGAGGGTGGGGGGTGGAGTAGGAAAGGAGACTATTGTCTGCTCTTAATTGATGTAGCATATGTTGGAACTCATGGAATGTCATTGCTGGCTAGATATACATCCACAGCTGTTTTGCACTGGTGCCCAATCTTGACCATTCGACTCATCTATGTCATTCGGTATAGAAGGCTACCCACCTTCCCACTATTTTTCGTCCATTTCAACATCGCTCTCCCTGGGGAAGCGAAATTTCACGAGCGGGTGGGCGTTTTGGGGAGGCATCTACCTGCATAGGGTAGATAGCAAAATGCAACCTCGACGTCGGCTGGTCAGAATTTTGAATGCGAATCGATTACCAAAGTGCGTCTGAATTCTGTGAAGTCTGAAAAAGTCACAGAATAAAGACTCTTCTGTCATATATTCCTTATCTGGCCCAGCTATCCCCCCCAGAACTGACTGCGAACTGATCGTATGGCTGCTCTGCTGCATATTTATGGATCAGCATTTCTACTTATTGGTGTGCAAAACATAGATTGGACACCCACAGCAGTATCTTTTTCCGAATCATCTTCGCTTACATCACACCATCGCAGAAAATCTTTCGGGAAACTGCCGCCCTAGGCATGAATTGGTCCAACGGACATTCAGTTGCGCCTCATTTACGCAGCCGGCGTTTGTATGACAGCGAGGCGTAACCATAGCCTTGCCAAGGCGGCACAAGGTTCACAAAAGCCAACTTGATGGTGACCTCTCAAAAAAGGTCGCCGGATTTAGTTTGGCTGTTAACAAGGGACAATCATATTTTCGTTTCATTGTTATTTTTACCTTATAACCAGAACAGAAACAGAAAGCAGAAGCTACCGCGAGATCCACTCCGTATGTATTTTGAAGTCCAAAGCTGCAGAGATCAGGCGTCGAACAACTGCTTGAAACAAATCACCGGCGTGGTTGGTTCGGCGGACTCTTTCTAAACCGATTAAATTCAGAACCTTCGTCAGATTTTTGTGTGGGTTCTTTAGCCATATTGAAGATCCTGCGAAGATAGATTGCAAATAGAAATGTGTAAAAATGTGTATTGATGTGGCCAAACCATTTCTGTGGAGAAATTTTCAATGTTAATTCAGAATGATTAGCGATGCGAATAATGTAACGCAGTTTTGAACATGTGCGCTCACAAATCTTAGCAAAAGCCTCGCCGCCAAGTGTTGCAGTCTCCGTAGACCGCGCAGCGCCGGCCCAGTGGCCAATACTGAGCCGTAGCCAACGTGTGGATGAAAATGACAACGCTTCTGAAAGAAGTAGCTTTGAACACTTAATTCATTAGTGATGCGACTTTACATAGTTTAGAGCATGCGCGCGCGCAAATGTTAGCGACAAAAACCTCGACGCCAGGCGTTGCAGTCTACGGTGGCTGCGCGGCGTTGACCTAGTGACCAATACCGAGTCGTGGCCAACTCGATTCGTGGTACAACTTATGAACCGTAGTTTTGAGCATGCGCGCGCGCGCAAATGTAAGCAACAACAGCTCCGACACCCGGCATCGCAGACCTCAAAGACCGCGTGGTGTTGGCCCCGCGGCTGTGACGCTGAGCGCTGGCCAACGAGCAAACGAAAAAACATGACGCATCTTCGGGAAGATGGCTGGTGAACTAGGCAAGTCGGCATGCATGTTTATGGTCGTACAAAAGTAAGCTCAACACAACTTAAATCTGAAGAGTTGGGGGAGGGGCAGCTATCGTTGCTGGCCCCCCACGTTGAAGAGTGGGGGGGGGGGGGGGGCATTGGCCTACCGCCATCCCCCCTGTTCCTACACAAGCATGAACCAGAGATCCGCACTTCTCCAGCAGTTTCTGGCCCGCTGCTGGACTAGCCTGTTCTAGCTGACTTTGAATTTTTGTGGCATTGACTTTTCAGAATCTACAGACCAATGACACTTTAAGACCGCAGTCAACAGGCCCCTACCCCGCCTAGCCGGTCAACCCTGACTCGACAATATTTGAAAATCAAGACAGTCGTTGGGTTGTTGTTATGCGACTCCCAACGGCTGACCCCCATTGACGTCACTTTGGGATCGTTGCTAGCAAAAGAGGCTCTCCTATGGCCCACAACACTGGTGAGAGCTCATTGTTGTCAATATAAGGCCCCCCCCCCACACTGCAGTGTTCGATTGGCCCGCTGCTGCCGGAGTGTTGGGCGTGGAGGGGTGTTCTGCGTGAGCGGTGCGCCCCGAATGTCAGTTTTCTGCTTTTAAGCTGGAGATGAAGTGGCTTTTCCCCTAAGACTGTTTTGATTTCGTCTTTGTAGAATACAAAACATTTCATTTACCCTGTCCTACTCCTGGGGTTAAAAGTGTCGGGGGTTGAAGTTGAAAGGTGGCATTATCAATAGGTACATGAGTATATCCATCCCATTTTCAGTTTTTGGCTGATTTTTGGTTGACTTTGATTGATTTCAGTTCAGTTTATGGTTTTGCAGGTTTAGAAGTGTTTCATGGCTAAATGATGTGACATATGCCTTGGGTATTTTGTTGAAGTGATACTGGTCTAACTTTGGGGGTGGGTTGTGTGTGGCTGCATGTGCAAACAAACATGTAAGAATCCCCTGATACACCCAGCAATGGTGCCTGTCCTTCAGGTGGCAGGTGACACATACAGGCCTGGCAGCTGAAGGTGTTGTAGGTCACCAATGGCATTACACACAGAACCATATTCCCACTCTGCTGGGTACTTTGCCATTTGGATGGAAATACAGGTAGTCTAGGATGTGGTCATATATTTCCCCTGCACAAGTCACAACACTTGCAGGCATGTGGATTCCTGCATGCATGAAATGCAACTCCATGATCCTTCAGAATGTGTGAACTGTTGCTGGATTGCATTGAGTGCATGAGTCCTGCTAGATTTGTTTTCTTATTGCTGTATACATGTAGTGCAGTGAGGCCCTCTGTTCTTTTTAGCAATGTACACTATCATTGGTTAGCACTGCTGGCTATGGAGTGCGTCCTAAAGCCCCAATCACACACACATACCTCATTTAAGTACAGCTAAACATGTTATGCCCAAGTCTCAGATTTAGGAGCTTATGAGTTTTGATGACTTTTTTACAAAGCCTTTTTATTAGTCTAAAGCATTTCTTGTTCATTGTTACTGGCTTCTTGTTTTAGTGACATTCCAAAGGTATGCCCAAGGCTCATGGATGATGTCTAGCATGCTAAAAGCAGGCATCATAAACCTTTTGAACATTGATCAAAGTATCACATGTACATTACCTGAAACTGAATTGGGTCCTATTATTTGGTTCAGGACTCCAGGTAGTGTGTTGTCTTGTTTTTATTCTTTGTAGCTCAGTTTTGCAGCATGTTCAATAGCTTGTGCCTCGTTAAACAAAATGTATGATTAGGTATGTGCTTGCCCTACACAACATTTCTGCCCAGACTCAACCCAACACACTTTGTTATGTAGAATAGCACATGGTAACCTTTGTTCAATATTTTTGGTTTGTGTTGAAAGCTTTACCTAAAGGTATCTTTTTTGCTGTGGAAATGTACCTGAAGCTCTGATTTAAAGGCTTTTGTTCTTCAGACATGTTCTTATACATCCAGGTTGATAAAAATTTAGTTGCAGCATGTTCCATGTTTCAGACTGGTCAAGGTTCCTGAATGATGGCTGTTGGAATGCATGAAGCACAGTCTTTTGCGCTATCATGCATATTCTCATCTCCTGAAAATAGATCTATCATTTTTATGACTGCAACTGAACGGCAGGGTGCCATTGCTGCCTTTTGTTGGGATGGTAGCATGGTATCACTGCCAGGACCTCACAGCAGCATATTGCCTGCAGATCATTGCTGGCCCATGGACAACCGGCACAGCTCATCACCTTCGCCGGTCATGGGCGCTAAGACAGTCCTGTCAGACTCAATGCTGTCATCACCTGGCTGTGTGCACACGCCCTCCAGTGGTGGCAGCACGTTCGACCTGCTCCTGGAGAGCCGCGAGAAGGGCTCGCGCGAGGCGGATGGTGGCGCCGACAAGGAGGCAGGCAGCGCGCTGTTGTGCTCGGCCGCCAGTGACGACATGTTCTCGGTGGGTAGTGGTGTCGTGTGTCCAGCGACTAGTGGGGTCTGGCGGCGGCTTCGGTTGACGACATGTTCTCGGTGGGTAGTGGTGTCGTGTGTCCAGCGGCTAGTGGGGTCTGGCGGCGGCTTCGGTGTGGCACTAATGGCGGCTGTTGACGCTCCAGTCATGGTCTGCCGATATAGCCGGTCAGAGTCAGAGGGGGGTGGAGGCTGGTTATTGGAGTTGGATGGACTGTTGTTTGAAGGCAGATGATCACTTTCTTGGAGTGAAAGCATAATATCACAGATTGATTTCGGTTGAATTTGATGTCCTATATAAAGTTGATGTCGTTTTAAGATGGCGTCGACACATGCCGGGCGGCCAGTTGAACGGCGACGCGCTCGGGTTGGGATAAGTTGGGATTGGTTTGGGTGGAGGAGGGGGTGGGGGTGGGGGGGGGGGAATTTGAACCCCTAGCATCCCAAAAACTAAGATGGCTAGAGACACCAAAATGCACATGGTAGTTGTGTCTCCATATGACCTCATTTGTATGATACTTGTGGGTTTCTAGGTCGTGACATTCCAGTCGAATAAGGTTTAACAATTTCGAACTCGCGATCAATGTCTGAAGTTCCCCCAGACATACTAATGCAACCAGGTTCAACCAAGTTACTTTACCTACTTTAAACGTCATTTAGGATATATAGAATCAAGGAACCTATATGTTGAGAAGGTCAAAATTACCCAAAAATATTAAGGTTAGTGTAACGTTGTAATGTAAAGCTAGCATCAAGCACAACCCTAGGCAGAGTTTCCTAAAGCAAAAGAAGGTGACAAGGTCCAGATCTCAAACCTAGATGATGTCATCGCCTTGAAATCACAATTCAATAAAATGAACAAAAAGCTCAGAAGGCCAAAATGGTGTCCAGTCTAGTTAGTGGGAACAAGCTGGCGTCGGTACAGCGTGACAGTCTCACCTCAGTTGATTGTCACGGTCGTACCTCAGTCTTCTGAGACAGTTCAGTGTCGTCACTGAATACAAATAAAACAGAATAAATAACAGTGCAGGCTGCCATGTTTTCATCAAAGTCCAGAATGTTTCATTGCTCTCCCAGCTAGAGTAATGTGCGGTCGTGTATGGCGCTGATGCAACTGGGGGCTGTGTATAGACTCGCGTGACCTCCCCCAGATGAGCGGGGATGCGGACAGTCTCATATTCATGGAGGCGCTGGCTCTGGCCGAGGAGTTCGCGACGTTGGCTAAGGAGGCAGGTAAGGACACATGGCGTTTCCATTGACTGCCAAGGGTTACCATGTACGCAGCATAAGGTGCGCAGCATAGTGAGTGCCGGGCTTTGGCGATTGATGGGGTGAGCAAAAACTGTTGTTACATGTAGTGGCATGGCAAGTAATTGTGTTGGCAAATGACACTGTTCAGCAGCTTATGTTTTTGGTACTTCGTAGCCGGTTTCATTAACATGGAGGTTGGAAAAACACCTGCTAATATGTAGCTGTTGGTGATGATACTGCATACAGTCGATGGAAAACCTAACCAGAGAACCAACAGCCTGCCAGCGACCTTTTGAATCGGGGCTAAAAATCTGATTGCATGTTTTATTATCGGACGACAAATAGTTGGCCGTAGAACTGACGGTATACGTGTAGGATCTTCGGCGCCGCTACGGCCTGGTATCGAACCGCCATGAAAGGCACGTCGTTTCACGTAGGCCCGTGTTTTGTGTGGTACGTTCGGCTGGCGTGTGCTGCTGTGCCGATGTCGGCGCCGGCGTCGTGGGATCTGCTGCTGCTACGCTGATCTGCCGCTGTGCTGCTGTCGTGGCTTGTGCCGATGTCAGCGCCTCCATGTGGCGATGTGGGGTCTGATCAGCCATGACGGCTGGCCGGCCGTCCGCAGACGAGCCGGCGGCCGAGTCGTCCGGCATGGCCGACAGCTGGCAGCGCCTGACGGCCGGCGCCGCGATGCTGGCGTCTGGCGTCCAGCCGTCGGCGGCGCCGGCGCCGGCGCCGCCCGGCCCGGTGCCGGACGTCGTCCCCGTCTCGACGGCCGCACTCCCCGTCTCGACGGCATATGCAGCGCTCTGCGAGAAGGCCTCGGCTGAGCTGCGCCAGCTGGAGCTGCAGACGCAGGAGGAGTACGAGAGCCTGCAGTTTGAGGCGGCCGAGCGTTTGGTGGCGGCGGGCGAGGCTGACCCCGGCCGCCACCGACCACTGCAGCTGATACCGTGGGGCGCCGACGCCGCCCGGCCGGCGACCGGCGGCTACGGAGTGGACGGAAGCTGGCGCGGTACATACCGCGTGCTCAAACCATCGGTCGGGCCGTGTCTGGCGAACGAGTCGCCGTCGGAGACGCGACGGCGCCGGTCGTCCCCGGCCCCGCCAGCCACGCGGCATGCGTCCGGCCGTGCCGCGCTGGACCGCACCTTCCGCTGCGACGCCCGGCCGGACCGCACCGACCGCGCAGAGGCGTGGCTGGACACCAGTGACGGCCCCTGTCGGGAGCAGCGCGAGCTGACCGGCAGCACGACCCAGCAGCGGGGCGACTCGCCGCTGGTCACAGCCGGCCGGCCGGTGCGCCGTGCCCGCGTCTCCCTGAACCAGACATGGGACGTCGACGCCCCCGACAGCCGAGCCAGCAGTGCTCTCGGCCGTGTCAACTCCACGTTCGACACCGACGTCCTGAACAAGACCTTCGATGCTGAAGGCCCAGCTATTGCGTCAGCGGGCGCGAACGGCCTCCTCAACAGCACGTACGACGCAGAAGCCTCCCTTCAGGGTGTATTTCACGGAGACGTCGGCCCGGATCTGACGCAGGACGCGGCGGGCGCCCTGAACCAAACGTTCGACGCCAGCGTGCGCTCAACCCGCAAGTCAGGCGCGTACCGGCGGCTGACGTGGAAGTCGGACGTGGACGCCGTCCTGAACCGAACGTTCGACGGCAAGGACTCGTGGCAGCGGGAGGCGTCCCGTGCGCTCGGCCGGCCCCGAGCCTGACCAGCGGGGTGACACGCAGGGCCGGGACCGGTCGGCAAAGGTGCCTGGTCCAGTGGTTAGCAGATCCGGCCTGGCCACGGCGGAGCAGGTGAGACCAGCCACCTGCGCACGCCGACCGTCTGACGTGGGCACCTTCAGGACCGCAGAATTGCAGCATTGCATTGAGCAGCGGAAACGCTAGCGCTAAGCAAAGGGGTTGGGGTCATGCATAAATAAGTTTAAGCGTTACAGCTATAAAGACCGGGGTTCTTCATTCATGTTGCATCTTTCTCTTGCACTGAGTTCACTTTTCACACCGTGATAGGGCCCCAAACGCTTGGCTTCACTAACCTATGGAGAGATGATTACCCCGTAGTTGTAACTCCTGTGCGGCGATGTCTTAGTCTGAAGCATTGCGGCGCGGTAAGACGACATATTGTCAAGCGATTCTCTAACGACATTAAGTTGGTTTAAAAGCGTAGAAATGGAATTAGAACGTATTACTCTTGTCGGGAAAATGTCACCGCAGTTTATTTCCATAAGCCCAACTTATTTCCATAAGCCTAACTCCGTCGATGCCAAACCGGATAATGCTGCCTTTCTCCCAGACGCTGACAGGCAAAATGTGCGGCCGCAGTGGGGTGATTGTAAGGTGATTTGTGAATAGAGAATTTGAGCAAGTATCTAGAGGCCAGGTGACCGTGTGCTCATCCGTTGTTGACAGTTGGGATCGGCAGACCGCAGCTCCTCGTCCGAGCGCGCCGCGCCACCACCGCCAGTCTCTCCGCCGCGGCCCGGCTCTGGTGGCAGTCGCTCCTCGTCCGAGCGCGCCGCGCCACCACCGCCAGTCTCTCCGCCGCGGCCCGGCTCTGGTGGTAGTCGCTCCTCGTCCGAGCGCGCCGCGCCACCACCGCCAGTCTCTCTACCACGACCCGGCTCTGGCGGCAGTCGCTCCTCGTCCGAGCGCGCCGCGCCACCACCGCCAGTCTCTCCACCACGACCCGGCTCTGGCGGCAGTCGCTCCTCGTCCGAGCGCGCCGCGCCACCACCGCCAGTCTCTCCGCCGCGCTACGGCTCTGGCGGCAGTCGCTCCTCGTCCGAGCGCGCCGCGCCACCGACGCCAGTCTCTCCGCCACGCTCTGGCTCTGGAAGTAGTCACTCCTCGTTCGAGCACGCCGCGCCGCCGCCGCCGTCTCCGCCGCGGCCCGGTTCTGGCGGCAGTCGTTCCTCGTCCGACAGCGGTGTAGCGCCGCCGGCCGGCCGCCGGCGCCGCCGTCAGCCCGGCCCGATGACGTCCACGCCTCTGCGCTCGGCTGGCGGTGGCGGTGACGACGGTCTGCCACCAGCCGCTGAGGCCGGCGAGAGCGCCCGCGGCGCTGAGCAGCGACCCACTGCAATGCCGTTGGCAGCGGCGGCGGCGCTCCAGGGCGTCCGGCGCACCAGCGGCCTGGCTCGGCCGGTGCCGGCTGCCGGTGGCGCTCTCCAGGCGCCTCACAACGGACTGCTGCGGCCGGCCGGTGGACCGCAGCACCATCGGGCGCTGGCGAACGGCCTTGTGCGGCCGGACGATGGGTCGCTGCACCACCGGGCTCTGGCAAACGGCCTTGTGCGGCCGAACGATGGGTCGCTGCACCACCGAGCACTAGCGAACGGCCTGGTACGGCCGGACGATGGGTCGCTGCATCACCGGGCACTGGCGAACGGCCTGGTGCGGCCGGACGCGGCTGCCGCCAGCGCCCAAGCGGTTCCGCGGAGCCTGGTCGGGCCAGCCAGGGCCGAGGACGGGCCCGATCGGCGTCCCTCGGAACCGATGCGGCTTCATACGCCCGACGCGGCTGCCTCCGGACTGCCTCAGGGCAGAGCGGCTGGACTGGCGCAGCCGTCGTCCCGGCCCCGACCAGCGTCTCTCAGGCAGCCGGCGGCGTCCAAGCTCCGTGCCCCGAATGCCGCTGGGCTGGGCGCTCTCGCAGCTTCCGGACTCCGTGCCCCTGTGGCTGCAGGACTCCGCGCCCCTGTGGCCGCCGGACTCCGCGCCCCTGTGGCCGCAGGACTCCGCGCCCCAGCTGCTGGACTTCAGGCTCTCTTGTCACATGGACCCCGCGCCCCGCCGGCCGCTGACCCTGGCGCTCCACTGGCGAGGGTCGGCGCCCCATCCGCCCGAGTCCTGCGGCCGCCGACCGACGGGGTGTCTGGACAGCTGGCGGCGCGCGACGACGCCGTCTACAGGGTACCATCACCTGCTGGGAGAGCAGCGCCGCCGGATGGACACAGGTGAAGCCCGTCACACCGGCGCTGGCCCCACTCGCAGGGCGTGCTACTATGCACGGCGAGGTGTCGGTGACAGGCCGCGGAGCTGGAAGTACTAGAACTGATGCGTAGGAATACCGCTTCACCAAGTTTAAAATCACTATTGAATTAACTAATTGATGACGTCATAGATAGCACAATGGTAATAGCCTTATTGCTCGGATAAAACCCGGGGGAATGGAGATATAGATCGGTTGATATGTCGGCAATATGCCTTTACCAATTCAGTAGCAGAAGTAAATTTGAGATTGCCTGCCGATGATCCTACTCGATTTTCAGGTTTTTTTTCTTGAAACAGCCAGCCACAGTTTTTACAGGACACCAACATTCGAGAGATAAAACAGGGAGCGATTGCCAGGCATTACCACGATACAGTGCATATCTAAGAATTAGAATATGCGAACATACTCGTACATGCAAACGAGTTCAAGCAAACAGGCACCACACATCACGCTTCATTCAAACATGCAAGCAAGCTGACGTTAACAGGCATCACACATCACGCATCAGTTATACATGCAGGTGGTTTCAATAGAACAGGCATCGCGCATCACGCGTCAGGCAGCACTTACACACGTTAATTATTTTAAACTGGCACTCATCACACATCAAGGCACATGTCACGTTCGCATAATAGGCCATGACTGGGCTCATCATGACCAATTATGCGAACGTGATGTGATATGAAATCCACTTTGCAATAGTCTGGAATCCGTTGCCCTTAGTCGAGGATCCAGAACTCAACAGTCCAATCCAGTATTAATTCCTGGAATCCAAGCAGATGTCTGATATAAGCATCCGTGAGTGAAACGGTCGTGTGCAGCATCGCATTCTTGGTGTAACGGGGAGACCTGTACACCTCAGAAAGCACACTCGCGTGCACACACGCACACGCACGCACACACACGCACCAGGTGGCGATTCATCATAGTGAAATAAGCACTTACAAAGGTGTGCAAACAACCTCTTATCGGCATAATACGATGGGACGAATGAACGTTGTAGTGTGCACCTATTACCTGGCTGCGAATCACTCCGTTCACTTCGACATATCCCCCTCAAGCAAGAGGAGGCGACATATATGATCAACTGAGGACTAGTACGCTCGTTGCCGCATCATCTATATGTATCCACATAATTGACACACATCACCACGTGTTGAGCGTCCTCACCGTCTGTTTGCGACGTGAGTATGTTCAACCGTGGCACTCGCGGCCACTTGGTAAATTCTCGCTCACGTGGTAAAAGACACAAGTTGTACACGTTTTTCGGTTGGCATGTTTCGGCGTTATGTTCAGCTTTACCAGCATTCGCTGTACATATGTCGTCACCGTTCCGTGTTTTTGGTTCGTGGAGGTGAACGTCGACGAGGTTGGCCGTGTGCTCCAGCACGCAACCATGGTGCAGTTATTTGCATTGCATCCTAATGGTGCAGTGACACCCAGGGTGAAGGATACGTTCGCAACACTTATGGGGGGCGGGGGGGGGGGGTCAATAGATTTACTTCTTCCAGCCTGAAGCGTTAGATGTCTGGCCGCCTTGTGTTGTCTACAGTGTGGCATATTCGGGTGCTCCGCTATAGTGCCTGCCGTGCCTGTCGACAGCACGGAGTGTCCGAGTGCCGTACCCAGGCTGCCCGTCGGTCGGTCGTCCAGATTGCCGGCCCCGTGGTCTTCTGGCCTGCCCATGGCGCGACCTTCTGGTGTACCCACTACCCGAAGCTCACTTCTGCCGGCACCAGCCTCGAGGATATCCGGAATCCCCGGTACGTACTCTGCCAAGGCAGGCACCCTGGTGTCTGGGGTCACCGGTACGTGCTGTCGAGACAGGCCCCTGGTGTCCGGAGTCGCCGGTACGTATCGCCGAGGCAGACACTCTGGTGTCTGAAGTCGCCGGTACGTACTGCCGAGACAGACAGCTTTATTCTACGTAGACAGACACATGTTATTCGCCAAGATAAAGTATAGGTTGCGTTGCCGCCGTTTTGACACAGTGGGGAGATTTGGCATGAATGGCAGATCGCGGTTGACACGCTCAAAGAACGAGATTTCCAGGGGTATTCGAACCATGGCAGAAGCGCTTGGATTGATGTATCTTAACACGGGGTGATTTTTGGAAGGGGATGAAGGCCAAATTCGGGTAAGTTTTCAGGCATAGTATACGCCTTCTAGAAGATTGGTCTCGAAGTTTTGATCGGGTCTTTGAAATGCGTTGGGAATGCATGGGGACTGGGACAAATGATGTGTTGTCATTTCCCGGAACTGGGAATGCAACCATCAAAATTGTAAAATTTCCCGGCAAAATCTAAGCCCAGGGCAGTTTATTTTGATACTTTTTGCTAATTTTATGTTGCTTTTTTAAACGTAAGCTGAAAAAGCGTGTGCGGGGTATAGAAAGTAACAAGCATTACGAAAAAGAGAGGGCCCTTACTGTGCACGCGAAACACACCTGAAATCTAAGCTGGAAGTGGTTTTATTCCACTTGACAAACTCATTACCAACATTCACCGTTAGTTCCTACCTGCAAGGAATACAACGAAGTGTCTATTGCTTACAGTAAACTGTCGGAGCTGTGCGAAACTGTATTAGAAAATAATGTGCAAAATAAAGCCGCCACAAATGATGCACTATCGTGCATGGCAAATTGTTAGTTTCCACTTACATTTTCGTGCACCATTGCTACGTATGTTATTGCATTGAGCCATCATGCTACACGCCTATCCTAGACGCTACCTGACCATGCAATGGCATCGCCCAAAGGAAAGAATGTTTTATTAAAGTTATGCGCGTGTTGTTTAGCTTTTACTATGTGCTCAAACGCCACGGTTTTTTGTCAGGTGTTGGGAGGTCGAGAGTTCCTGCGCCTCCGTATCGTCCCCAGGTTGGCAACATTATGTTTGTCCATAGTTAAGCCTCTAAAGCCGCGCAGTACTCCTGTAAGTGACGCCGTTTTACCATCGCAGTGATATAAACCCAGCCAGTGCATTGGCTTACGTATTGTAAGTTAAACGGTCTTGTATCGTGGCAAATACTGTAGGCGTTACGCCATATCGGCTTAATGGTGTGTGATCAGGTGATCCAAAGGTCAAATGACGTGGTCTGAACTGGGGCGCCGCTGGTGGTGTTGCTGTTATGAGGCTGTTGGAGTGTGACTGTCCTGTTTAGGCATGCATTGACCGTCGGCGTGCGTCGTCAGGAACGGCTATCCCGCGGCCGCGCCGGCCGCCAGCTGTAGGTCGCGCTGGCCGCCAGCTGCAGACCGCACCGACCGCCAGCTGTAGGCCGCGCCGGCCGCCAGCTGCAGGCCGCACTGGCCGTCAGCTGTAGGCCGCGACGGCCGCCAGCTGTAGGCCGCACTGGCCTCCAGCTGTAGGCCGCACCGGCCGCCAGCTGTAGGTCGCGCCGGCCGCCAGCTGCAGGCCACACCGACCGCTAGCTGTAGGCCGCACTGGCCGCCAGCTGCAGGCCACACCGACCGCTAGCTGTAGGCCGCACTGGCCTTCAGCTGCAGGCCGCACCGGCCGTCAGCTGTAGGCCGCGCTGACCGCCAGCTGTAGGCCACACCGACCGCCAGCTGTAGGCCGGCGTTACCAGCACCCACCGACTCGCCCGCCCTCCGCACGGTCGGCCCCTGGGCGGGCACGACCCGGCAAACCGAGCTTCGGGCCTCCAGTGGACACCGCCACGCCGTGTGCACAGCGGACCGTTAGCGTCAGCGTGCGCATAGCGTGCTGCTTTCCGTCGCTTGTCAATGAGCTAGTCCAGTTGGCCAGACTTCCACGTTTTGTGATGATTTACCAACGCATACACTCGGCGCGGCTGTGTGCTCGTATATTGGTTTCTGTCGCGCCCTTTAGTGCTTTCCCACGAATCTCCTGGACGTCGTGTGCGTCGTCATCCGACCGACGGTGTTCAGCACGCTCTGTACGCAGCTGTGGTGTGACGTGGGCCTGGTGATAGACATACCTTGCTTAGTCGCTGGCTGTAATCTTGCCATTATGCCAGGCCATGCGGCCATTGTAATCAGTCTCCGTTTCTTGTCAGCACGCAATGAAAACATGTGAATCCACCGAGCATCTATGAGTGGTGTCTGGAGCGTGCGGAGCTCGCCAGGTTGCTGAGAGATGCACCAGGAGCATGACGGCGTTGCAAGTTCGAGCGGAAGGCGGGCAGGTGGCGACATCATTTAGACGTTATTTGTGAGGCGGGCAATCCACATAGGTGACTCTGTATGCCCGCGAGTAAACACTTGAAGCTGTCAAGGTATTTTACGTATGATAGATGGAATCACACAACCACATTACCACCGAGTCGCACGACTTAACTGTAGATGCCGGTCAGTATATGGTGATCTGTTGCGTTCGCCCGGCTCCGTCAAGCGGAAGCGTACAGCGCCCCACATGCTATCACCGGCTGACGCAGTCTCACGGAAAAGCAGGCTGGACTCGCGCAGATCGCAATACGGTAACTGGCCGTCGATTTCAGTTCGTATTCTTAGAAGACAAAATTTGTGCCGTGCGAGTTGCGCGGTCGCATCGCTTTCAATAAGGCTCTGCGGTAGTACTCCATGGTGGCCCGCTGCAAATCCTCTATGGGCAGCACGCCCGTGCCATTTGTTTTCTTGTCAGCCAGCGGAGCTTTCGTGACGCATGTATGTGATAGTTTCGTCTATCGCTGATCTCACACGCACGCAAGGTGAGCGGTTTTTCGCAATGTAGATGTGTTCGAGCAGCAGGGTTGGCATTTCAGCGGGCTGAGGCTTGGCACTGCCATTTAATGGTTGTTACCGGTTAAAACCGGGATAAATTGATAAAAGCTCAATACACAATATTGTTCTTTTTGTTCATTATATCGCAACAATTTAGCTGCAACATTTCCTGTGCAGCCAGAGTCTCAGAAACGACGATCTGACAAAAGACTGCTTCCAATCGATAGAGACCACGTGATGCTTTAAATTTAAACAAGTTCCAAATGGCACGATATGATGTTATTGCTGCCTCGATGATGTACGCATGACGTCTGAAACCAGACTCAATAAGCATAAAAGGCGTGCACTGGAATCAAGTTCGTCAACCACTTCATATTTCTCCCCTGTTCAGTCTTAGTTCCACTTCCGGTTTAGGAACGAAGCATCCAATGCGGGACCGGGCCGGACCTAGGTTTTATTCGACACAATCTGAACGGACTGCACCGAGTTCAAATGAATCGGATCGCGTAAAGCGGTTTGGGCCGCGTTAGTTCAAACTGGACCGGCCCGGAAGGACGAAAAGAACCACGAAAACTCGGTGCGCGTCATCCGCGGCCACCTCCCTAGTGGTGTCGGTGGCGCCGCGTGGTGGTCAAGGATTCAAATATATATTTGCGCACAGTAAATTTTGTGCAACCAAAGGAAAGTCAATTTGCGCACATACTGTATGCGGAAAACAGGCTGCCCTATCTCGTTTCCGTCGAAAGTCAGCCGTGCCTGACCTTCGTGAACTGACGATGTCTGTCGGTCACTCGAGAAGATGCCAGCAAAAAGGTTGCAGGTTGTAGAACGTCGCTATTCCCGTCAGAGTGGTTATACCATAAGGTTTTGATGCTAATGGCATGGTACTGGAAACGCTGCTGTTGTCGGTCTGAATACGTATAACCAAAAATTGTATTATGACCCTGCACTTTGAATGGCCTTGAGATACCACGGATGCGCGCTAGTATGGATTGATCATTGACTCCTTTTCAGGATATGACAGCCTGACATTTGTATCGTTTTCTTCTCACCAGTTTCTTTCCAAAATTGCAAAAATTGGGAGCAGCGTGAGGTTAAACAGTAGCCCGTAACCAGAAAACTGGTCGCTGTGCATCCTCCGTGGTCAGTTGGGGCTGTTAAGTCGTCCCTTTCATCACGAGTTTGCGCAGTCTTACAGAGTAAGCAACAGGCGGCTCTCTCAACATAGTGCATTCCATTGTGGCAGGTACTTAGTGACCCTGGGTCATTCTGTGACTTTAGGGCTTAGATCATGGTGTGCGTGATGCGCTGCCCTGTGAAAATATTTCGAAAGAGAAATTGTCATAAGCCAGAAGTCATTGTGTACGCAAGGTGCGACCTCGTTGATCTGCTTTTATCTCTGCAGGTCAATCCATTAATGTGCTGCACGAATGCTATGTCACGTGGATATCTATGGTGAATATTCCATGAGGTTGTTCGACCTAATCACAAGGTGTTGCGAAGTCGTTTCTACGTCTGAAAGCATGTCTGGCAATCGCGTCGCAACCGTAAATTTTACGCGGTTTTGAAACATCGTTGACATGCAGCGGTATCATTTGATCATCCCTACTTTTTTCCAAATATCACGTGATGTTTTATGGACTTCTTACCTCACCTGGGATATTTCCCTTTTTCAAACTTCCGACGATCAGCTGAGGTCAAAAGTGCCAGTTAGCCACATCATTACCCAGTGTGCATCATATGTGATCGGTTGGGCCTCCTCCGTCATTACTTTCCTCACCGATATTGGTATGATCTTGAGGATTGCGGGGCGCGCAACAGCCGCCCGTTTTAACTCAAAGGGCGCCATCTCCTGAGATACCTAGCGACTTGAGGCCAGTCATTGGTTTCTGGCGCCAAGATCTTTAAATGTGCACCGTTTCGGATCCCGTTCTTCGAGCAGTTCCTCGAGCGAAAGACAAAAGATGGCTGGTACGAGACGAACGGACGCCACGTACGACACTCCACGGCGCCGTGGGGGTGCTGTGAAGCCGTGGACAGACGCCATGTGTGACACATCGTCGTGGGGGTGCTGTGAAGCCGTGGACAGACGCCATGTGTGACACATCACCGCAGGGGTGCTGTGAAGCCGCGGGCAGACACCATGTGTGACACATCGCCGCGGGGGTGCTGTGAAGCCGCGGACAGACGCCATGTGTGACACATCGCCGCGGGGGTGCTGTGAAGCCGTGGACAGACGCCATGTGTGACACATCGCCGTGGGGGTGCTGTGAAGCCGCGGACAGGCGCCATATGTGACACATCGCCGTGGGGGTGCTGTGAAGCCGCGGACAGACGCCATGTGTGACACATCGCCGTGAGGGTGCTGTGAAGCCGCGGACAGACGCCATGTGTGACACATCGCCGTGGTGACGCTGTGGTGAAGCCGTGAGCGCAGCGTTCACTCCTCGCCGCACATCGCCCCATTATGAAACCCAATAACAGCAAATCTGTTAGCTCAATTTGCACTGTATTTCGGTCACTTGCAACGGTTGAACCTTATTTAATAGCTCCGCTTACATCACATAAGCATGCCGCCGACTTTCGGAGCCAACCATCAATAGCTTCTGAACGTTGCCATCGGGCTTACGCTGTAAAAATAGTGGTCCTGCTACATGTCTGTATCGCTAGAAAGGAGTCTCGCGATTTTTTTCTTCACCGGGCTGTCAAAAGCAGCTACTGTCTACATGCAGCAAGGCTGACTGCCATGCGCCGCGGTCATTGACGCATTTTCCGAAATGCGAATAACTATTCGATACACTGCAAAATGGCACGTTCCAAGATCAGTCGAAAAACAAAACATGTTCAGCCGTCACCGTCATCGAACGGAAAGCCTTGTATAATGGCACTATGTGACTTAAAAGACGGATACCACGAACACTGCAACCACGGCTCAAGGGCAGGGCCGTTAGCGTACGCTCGCCTCGTGGGTTCCACGAAACGGCCGACGGTGAGCGCCACTGCAGTGACCATCGCGACACGTAAGCCGCCAAAGGGGAGGAGACGGTCGGCGCAGGGGCGCTGTCTGCCTGGTCTGGACGGCTGGTGGTCAACAGAGGGGCGACACTGGCGAGCGCGCGCGGCCCGGCGCTCAGGATACAGAGCGGCCGTCTCAGGCGCCACCAGCGCAAACAACTGGTGGCAGCCACTTCATCAGCGCAGGTGCGCAGACGCATCCGGTAGACTGTCGCGGCCACCGGCCACCGTGATGCTCTCAGTCCACCGTCATCAGTCACCCGGCCATACTGTGGCAGGTGACGGCCAGCCTGGCAGCGCAGCGCCAGCCGACGCAGCCCGTGCACGCCGGCCGGCTCCAAAAACGGTAGCGGGCGAATACGCCGACGACTGAGACCGGCCGGACAACGGGGAACGCTCCCCCCGAGCCGACCAGCGCAAGGACACGGATCGACGAGATCGGTTCTGGCTATGCCCACCCGGCGACAGCCCGTATGGCACATACTGCAGGCACATGGCTGATACGCTACGATCTAGGAGATGCATGGTAAGCTCTCAAGTCGACAGTACAGGGCGGCACTTCCGACGGTACTGTCGAGCTTGGCTCGGCGACCGCCGCTGCGCCGCAATGCGGCGACATAATCACACAACAGGCCGCCTGGAATACAATGGGATAGAGACGAAACCAGCACCGAGTTCCCTTCAGCTCCGAGTGTCAATCATTAAAAAATAACCTGGAGAGATCAAACCCGAAGCAAGATCAACGGAAACCAGACAGCGACGTCTGCTGGCCAGGAGAAGAGTGGCCAGCTCAGATCCAGATGGCGAAGAAATTAACCTCTTGCCCCCCCCCCCCCCCCACTCCACAGAGGCATCAAAATGCGATGGCACACCTGTCCACAAAGACAGCGCTAGTTCTGTACGGCCGGGGCCCGTGGCTCGGCGTGGGGAGCCGGCCCACCGCACTCAGGGACGACCGGCGGCCGGTGGACGCGGCGACAGCGGCGGCGGCCCGGCTGTCGGCGCCCGCGCCGGCGTCGGTCTGGGCGGCACAGCCGGACTTGCGGTTCGAGCCGCCGGCGACGACACGGCCGGCGGCGTGGGAGACGACACCAGGCGAGCCATGTGCGCCGGTGACGTCACGCGGGACGTCGTCGCCGGCGAGAGGGAGCGGTGCGCCGGCGACAAGACGGGCAGTCGTGACGGCGCAGGACACGTCGCTGGCTCCGCGGCCGACCCGGCACCCGAGCACACGCCGGAGTCATCCGTTTGTGGCTTCTGCTTCAGGTTCCGCAGGTGCTGGATAGACAACAGCATCATCAGCGCTGCACAAAAGCACATGCGTCAGCAGGACGGAAAGGACTGGACGCTAATCACAAGTCGGTTGATACCGATGCTAACCTGAGACGAGTGGCGCTCGACAATCTGCAGCATCTGTTGCTCCAGCCGCTTCAGCTTCACCTGATACTTTCTCTTTGTCTTCTCCAGGGCATCGGCGAGGGCACTGTACACAAACCAGACCGTGCACAGTCACACTCAGCGACTGATGAACAACCAACGCCATTTGCAGTGCAAGTGTGCAATTAATGCGAACATTCCAGGAGACGCACCCGCGATCACTCCACGGCGGCGTCACGTGACGAGACTGGGAATGCACGCAGGAGAGTTGACAGCACGCATGACAGAGTTGAAATAACACGCATGACGTGGCAGCCACGAGGCTCAAATGACGACATGAGAACGCCACATCTGACATACCCCGCTTCACACAGTTCGGCTTGGCAAGACTGCACGCTACTGACATGAGTGCCTCAACGGCGTGAGCAACATACGAACGGACCACCTGGATCCATGCTGGACCATGTGGGAAGAATGGGCATGAACTGAAGTGCGCGACGATCACAGGTGTTTTGCCTACCCAGCTGTTTTTACGAGACCCCGCGGGTGTTTTGTTCGGCTGAATGAGCTATGGGGCAAAGAGAGCCAAAACAGGTGCAGAGGTGATGCGGCCGTCCGGGCGCGCGCGCCGCCGCCTGAGCCCTCACCCGTTGGCGCGCTTCAGTTCGGCGATGAACTGTTCGGCGTGCTGCTGCCGCCGCTCGGAGGCGCGCGTCACCTCGTCCAGGCTGGCGCTGAGCTGGCGCAGCCGGGCCTGCGCCGAGCGCCGGCGTCCACTGGGCGACACGCCGCTGCCGGAGCCCGCCGAGTCGCTCGAGTCCGCTCCGGCCGCCACCTGGCCACGCCCGCGCGCACAGCGTTACACCGGCCCAGCCCGCAGCGCGCAGGCGGCACCTCCAGGCTGCTCTGGCTCAGGGCAACCTGTCTGCCTCAGTGCACCGCGCCTGTCTCTGGGCACCGTGCCCGGCGACTGATAGACTTTCTCCTTTTTATTGATTGTACCATATCGGACGTAGAAAGTTGACGGTCCTGCGCCCTAGGATCACCAGCACTTGATGCCTGGCTGCTTAAGTCGCCGGTGTCTGTAAATACAGAGTATTCCGCGCCGAGCACCGACCGCTCACGAGCGCAAATCCCCGTCCGGGAGCGTGCGTCGCGCACCTCCGCTCCGGCCGAGGCCGCCAGCTCGGCGCCACCGCCCACCGAGTCCCAAGTAAGCGTACAACAGAGAGGTTATGCCCGCCTAGCAACAGTATCAAGCTTTAAAGAATTAAGCTGTCCCGGACGAATCACGTTCCAAGAAGCTCGCAATGTGTGGGAGGGCAGGGTTAAAGCATACAGACTGTATGCCTCTTAGGAGCATGCTACCGCGAGCGAAACACATCCTGGAGCGCCAGAATCTCAAGCTGGCGTAGAGCACAGAGGCCGAGTGCGCCTCGTGTGGGCGAGTGTGCATATCCGGGATTACATTTTCACGCGATGTCAGGGCTATAGTACTGTCCTTGACGTTGTGCAGTGCACGTCGCTGCCCAAAACTAGTGGACAATTAACGTCTAAGCTACAGCTAACGTATTTAATCCTGAATTGAGCCTCGCGGGGTTTGAGCATAGAGACCGCAGACCAGTTGAAGAGCGTGATACCACAGGCAGCACACATCCTGGGCCACTGGTATCCTCCGAAAACGTACAATACATATGCTAGGGCAGCCTCATGACAGCGAAACGCACACACCTGTGGCAGACCACACAACGTCGGGGCTACAGTTTGTCACTTGATTACGGACTACATCGAATCACCCAGACTGGCGTGCTCAGCAGCAACCTAGTTCAATCATACCTTTGCGAGGGATATGGGCGAGATGGTGATATTTTCACAACAGGAACATTCGAACAGATGGTGATCAACGATGCCAAATCCCCTCCTTAACAAATCTTGGGGTACAACCTAGCCAGCACTCAACCGAACACCCATTACACACTTTCAAACGTACGGATTTTTGTCAGAAAAAAAACAGATCATACTGATGTGTGACAGGGCACAAAAACGCAGTGCTGATCTGCTGGCGGACCCCTTCTCGCACAAACGCGGCGTGTGCGTGTGTGTGTGCGCATGTACGGCGAAAACACGGCAGCACAGCGGCGCGCAAACGATATTGCTGCACGTTGCGCGATTTTGCAGCTTTGAATGGCATATGACCCTGCGGGTCTAGCACAACAGTGCATGGTGTCCGACTGTGCCGCGGCACACGGCGCCGGTCAGCCGGACGGCGCCGCGGACGCCTGTCGGCCGGCTCACCTCTGCGGCAGGCTCGGCGCGCAGCTGCTCCAGCTGGACTCGCAGCGCCCGCTCACTGGCCACCCGCGCGCCCAACTGCAGCTCCAGCCCGGTCTTCTCGCGCTCCGACAGGAACAGGCGTGAACGCAGCTCGGCCCGCTCCTCGCGCAGTGCCATCAGCTCCTGCCCCAGTGTCAGTGTCAGTGCACGCAGGCGTCACGGTAGAGGGGTGGCCGGGCTGCGCCAGGCCGTCCAGCCGGCGCCGCCGGGCCAGGCAACAAACGCGGTCAACGAACGCCATACGGACACGCAGCAGCCTCAGAAGTCTAAAGATCAGTTTAGGTCCGGAGCGAGGCGTGCGAGCGATTTGTAAACGGAACGGAACGGGAAAAGACAAATCCTAACAGAGCGTTTTTTTGTGTTGCAATTGCGACGAATGAGAACGAAGGCTCACTTCATTACAGCGCCGGTAAGATTCGAGTTCCGTTTGTAGTGGCGATTGGACCCGGACATTGTGACGTCCCCTTCACCATGAGATTTTGGTGCCCCTCGGAGGACGAAAACCTTACGGGGACCCAAGGGGAGGGGAACTGGGGAGACATGGCTTCCTCTGGATTCGCCTCTGCATAAACGGTGCCTGGTATGCAGAGCCTTGCTTTCTACGAACAAACGTTTCATGAAACAGAGCGGTTCTCCGTTACATTTTCGGTTCCTAGTTCACGCTGCGATCGTCATTAGATGAGCGGAGCGAGCCTTATCTATATGGGAGGTTTTATGTTGCGCTCCCACAATGCTCACGCTCAGCTGGCCCTCGTCCCCGGCGTAAACCGGGCTACACTTTCACACGAGGCTAAACAGGGGAGCCGTGAGTGCTAGAACTGGAGCAAACGTGTAAGATGCCTTCGCCCGCACAAGCAGCCCGTATAATTTGCACATACAAACTCGGACCAGTCAAGATGCGAGTCGTCGCATTAATCATCAGCATCCCTGTGAAAACTCATGTTTCTTTTTCTTCTTTCAAGCGTCTTGCCGTGCCTTCGAGTTCCGAGGAGCCCGAGTCGTGCCGCACTTATGCAGGTGTGCCCCTCACCTGCATAAGGACGGCGTGCTCGAGGTCGAGCCGCTGCGCGGCGGCCGGCGTCAGGGGCCGTTGCGCCGGCGCCGGGTGGCACGTGGACTCGAGCCGGACGGCCGTGCGCGCCACCATGGCCCGCTCCACCTTCAGCCGCTGGATGTGCTGGCGCACGCGCGCCTCGTCCGACCGCGCGCCGTCCACGTCGACCCCACTGGACGATGACGAGGTTGTGCTGTCGGCCGAGGGTCGGAGGTCAGGCGAGGCCGACGCGCGCTGCGACACGACCGCGAGCCTCTCGTCGCCGCTCGGTCTCGCGTATCCGGCCGGCGGCTCGAAGAACAATACGGTCTTACGGTCCGATTGTAAATACTCGTACACTAGTGACGGATGGAAAATCACAAGACCAAAAGAACTTTGAAAGCTCTGCACACAGCTGTGCATACTAGAGCTTCAACGTATGGTCAACAGGCCGAGCTCCAGTTGCCCTCATTGCCGTGCGCGAGATGTTCTGGTTTTCCCGCAGTGGACCAACACTTCATAACAATTCAAAAGGCTTTATAAGGTAACTACCGATGTTCGTTGTTGAACACTTCAGCCACGCTTAAGTGCAAGATCACAACTTCCGTAAGATGAAAAGCATCTGCATAGCAAGATCTGAGAGATAAGCCATGCCAACGAGGCAAATTTTCATACGATGGGGATCAAAGTACAGCAAATGGTCTATTCCGTAAAGCAGTTGGATCGGGCCGCACAAAACCTGGGACCTGACCGGACATCTCCAACACGATCGAATGCGATGCAGCCTATTTCAATCGTTCATTTAATTGTAACTGGTCAAACTGCTGCAACTGCCGGTGGGGATGATAACCGCATCCATGCTTTTTAAAGATGTGCCCTCCCTGAGCGACGAAGACTCAAACAGATATAATCGAAGAGAATGAATGACATATTTAATTTGTTACCGTGGGCACTGCAACAAGTCCTGAGTCCGACAGTGGCACACTTCTGGTCAGCATGACGAACACCAAATAACTCGCGTTTACGTCAACGCGTGAAGCATTTATGGTGTAAAATCACTACATTTAAAGATGAGAGAGGACAGGTATAAGAGAAAGAGTAAGACGTGCGCCGCAAAATTTTAATTTAGTTTACGGAGTGTGTGTGTTTAGTTTACGGAGTGTTTAGTTTACGGAGTGGTAGACTCCTAATGACTTAAATTCGAATCCGGTCGCATAGAGTAGAGACCAATCATGTGCTCATGCCAGTAACATTATCTTTTTAACGGGGAAGTATGAAGTAGGGAGTGTATACAGTTTCCCACCCGGAGCAGCAATGACTGGCTGCAATGTCTTATCTTCACTGAAATTCGTGCCAGGGGTTGTCTGATGCGAGAGTCTCCGCGGCACATTATCATGTCCCTCTGACTTATGGGTCCCGAGATAATCCCCGAGACGTTTTCATATCTGGAGTTAACACTGGCATGTTTTCAGCCCGGTAGCACCAATAATAATACAAGGATTATGATCAACTAATATATGCTTGAAATTACAACGATTTGTACAATGGAACCGAATGAATGAAACGCGCATATATATATATATATATATATATATATATATTTGGTTAAAGTGGTGTGACCTAGGTCCATGGTCATCGTTTCAACTTCGTCTAACGTTCGCTCTCAACTTTTCTTTCTGCAGATAACACCTTTCGTATGTCGTCCTTCCAACACAAATATGCCATACGAGGGTACTAACGTCCAAAAAGCCTTCCCCTGGCTCAAAACACGGCCACTTCACTCATTTTGGCACTCGGACGTCACCAAAGTGTGGCGTTCATCTGCCACCTGTCATGCGGCTCTAACGCATCTGTGATCACTGAGATTTCTTTACCCGTTAGCATCAGGAGTTACTGTGTGCGTGAAGTCCACCAGACACAGCATCAGCTCGGTATGACCTACGGATAACTTTGAGAGTTTCGTGGGGCTTGACGCAACGTTGATATGTGCTGACCGCCGCACCACTAACAACACAAAAGTAGCATGACTAACGAAATCAACTCCGGGTGATCGTGACGTGTATCAATGTAGCACCGGCAAAGAATATATATATATATATATATATATATATATATATATATATATATATATATATATACATCGTGACCCGCTGGGCCAGACCGAGCCTAATGCTGTGTTAGGTGGATTGAACGCACCAATTAACCCCTGACGCCAAATTGTAAGTCCCATTTCCATAATGTCCGCATGTCAAAATCAGGTGGAAATGACCACAGTTTCGAGCCGTGGAAGGCTCTTTAGATTTTCGCTCCCTCGAACCTTGGTCTTGTTTGTTTTGTTTGGAAACAAAAATATATATACATAAAAGGTGTTATCTGCAGAATAAAACAAATTGAGAACAGATATTGTGCAATGTTGAAATGGTAACCTCTGACCTAACCTTTGACCTAGATCACGAGCTAACTTTTTCATACTGACCTTCTTCAATTTTTTAACTTCCAGTGTAAAAAAATTTGGCGACCTAGACGGCATAAAATTGGTATCTCGTGTATCATTGTGGGCGCTACGGCAATAAGAACATGCTGATGTCAGCCCAACTATGAAAGCACATCGGAGCGCATCTCGTGACCCATAGGCCAGAGGGACCCAGTATTGTATCGGGTGGATTATACGAATCAGACGCCTTTTTCGTCACGTCGCCAATTTACGGTGAAATATGAGACATGACCGTTTTAAATCGCCCTACTGGCGCTGCACTGGGTACAGACCACAGCAGTTGCTTCGTGCGAAGGCATGGGACGTTAGGAGAGGGTTCTCCGTATGAAACTGTCTGTCAGAAGCCATACGGGAGTCGTTCCTGCAATGGCCTGATGTCGCGTCAGGAATGGGCCTCCACTGACCTGGTGGTCTGGCTGCCGCCGTCCTCTGACGCACCGACCCCACGCTCCAGTCGGCTGAGCGCGTGGCGCGCCACGTTCTCGCAGCTGCGCCGCTGCTCGCCGGCCACGCGCAGCGCCGCCTCGGCCTCGTGCGGCGGCGGCGGCCGGCCGGCGGCCAGGCCGAGGCCGGTGGCGCGGCAGCTGGCCAACAGCAGCGCCAGCTCCGACTCCTGCAGCGCCACCAGCAGGTCGAACGCCTCCGTCAGCTGGTCGGCCTGGTCAGCCGCCAGCTGCAGCGCCACACAGTTGCTCTCGTACTTGCCGACCAGCGCAGCCAGGTGGTCACTCTGCGCACAGGCCGCCTCGAGCGTCAGACCGAGCACGTCGTTCTGCGCCTGCGCGTGGTCCAGTCGCGCGCGCAGCCGGTCCGCCTCCAGCTCGGAGAGCAGCAGCCGGTCGTGCAGGGAACGGCCGGTGCTGTGCAGCGCCTCCTGCGCCGCAGACTCGCCCTGGTACGCCTGCACCAAATGCTCGGCCACCTTGGTGCTCTGCACCTGGGAAGACAAGCGGATGTGATCGGACAGTCGCTGACGGCACCACTCGCTACAGCTGGTGAAAGCATCTAAAATATGCGGATTACTAGCGATCATAGGTGGAAGAACAAGAGAGGGAGAGGACCGAGGAAGCACCTGTCCCCCTACTTTCAGATTAAGGGGGCATTTAAGCATCTATTGACTTTGTACGTGCTCTAACGCGAGCTTTTCACGAACTTCGCACCTGAAACACGCGCAAAAGCATGCAGCTCACAGTTCAATCCAATTATATCGATACTTACGGAGCAATTCTGCCCCCCCCCCCTCCCACAACCTAAAATTCGTTCCTAGATCCCTGCCTGCCATTGATATTGGGTTACAGCAAGTTAGCAACCAACTTTAATATCAAAACAGGGGAAATTGGGAGAACATCAGTGTATGAACCGCGTGTGTGGAGAGCAGACTAACCCCGCAGGCGGAGATGTCTGAGCCGGTGACACCGCTGCTGGACTGACGCAGCCGGACACGTTCAGCCATGCGCGGCACCAGTGGCGCCGCATCGGCCGGCTGCGGCGGCTCAGCCGAGCCGCGCGACCGGGCCGAGCGGGCCGGCGACGAGCAGCCCATCAGCCGCTGACAGTCCTCCAGCTAAAACACCAGCAGCTCGTCAGCCGCTGACAGACCTCCGGCTAAAATATCAGCAGCAAATCAGCCGCTGACACACCTCCAGCTAAAACACCAGTGGCCCATCAGCCGCTGACGGTCCACCAGCTAAAACACCAGCAGCCCATCAGACACTGACGGTCCACCAGCTACAACACCAGCAGCCCATCAGCCGCTGACGGTCCACCAGTTACAACACCAGCACCCCATCAGCTGCTGACGGTCCACCAGCTACAACACCAGCAGCCCATCAGCCACTGACGGTCCACCAGTTACAACATCAGCAGCCCATCAGTCGCTGACAGACCTCCAGCTAAAACACCAGCGGCCCATCAGCCGCTGACGGTCCACCAGCTACAACACCAGCAGCCCACCAGCCGCTGATAGTCCACCAGCTACAACACCAGCAGTCCATCAGCCGCTGACAGTCCACCAGCTGCCCATCACACGGCCGGCAATGTGACACACCCGAGTGTACATCAGCACGTGATATTTGCATGCAACAGGACCGTCATGACAACACGCTCACGTGCAGTCTACCAGCAAGCGACACTCGCGCGCATAACGTCGCCATCAGACCACCACAGTGAAGTGCAGTACATCATTAAATGACACCAGCTGCAAATGAACGTAGGCCCCGATTACATAGGATCATATGCGATTGCCAGATTCACAAAATGTTAAGCAAAATTCGAACACGCACAAGGCGAAATGATACTAGGATGTTCTTTTAATGTTTTCTTTTGTCTTAATTGTTGACAGAGTTTCAAGAACTTTTCCGGCAATTGTTTCCTTCAGACAGTGTTAGACAAACCCTGGAGCCTTCGGGCTCAGCCCTCTGGGGATGAATTAACCCCATGGGAACTTTGTTGGTTCGTTGGGGAGAATATATAACAATAAAATCACAACTTCAAAACAAGTCAAAGCGACATTGTGTACGCACAGGCCTAGCTAATCAAAATTCTGTCATGTTGGTTGAGTTGGGTCGTGTACCATCTAAAACGTGATACGTTTATATGAGATACAACGGAGGAAACATTCACGGGCGAGGTGATGATGGTAAAGAAGCTGTGCGACCAGTCATGGACGACAAAAACTGACCCTTTCAGCGCCCAAGATTCCGACCTCTCGTATTTTAGACGGTCAGTCTATCACCATATCGAGTGCACATGCGGTGCAGTGCAGTGCAGTGCAGTGCAGTGCAGTGCTGTGCGGTGCGGTGCATCCGTGGACCGGCACCCAAAAGATTATGACAGGAAACTTACGTGTGGACAAGGCGGAGCCGGTACAGGGCAACCCCTTCCACACGGTGCTTCTTATGGCTACATATCCACTCGCCTATTGCAGGTTTTATCTCTTTAAACCTGCTGGAGTCCACATTCCACGTCCGCTGCCAAACATGACGACGAACATATATGAACGAACATACATGATGCACACATATAGATCCCGTACACTTCAAATTCGAAAGAGTCATTTCACACAGAAGCGGAACGTCTCCCCGCCTGCTGAACTGCCGCGTTTGCAAGTTCGTTGCCATGTATACCACCACGATGCGGCATGAACGAGATCACCTCCTTACAACCCGCAAGTAGTCGGTATGACAGTAGACAGATATTTCATTGCAGTTACGGAAGCAAGAGAGCGGATTCATAGATGACACAGGTCAATGAGTCTGTTAAGATCAGAAAGCGTCAACATCGGCGCGTCTTGATGAATTTCAAGGCTGCGTAAATCGCATACAGCTTGGCAGTAAAAACAGTCCAGTCTGTTGGTAAACAGAAACGCCTGGCAGCGTCATCACAGACGAAATCGTGCGCACCATAGGATAAGCTGACAGAGATATTTGCTCGATCGCCAGCTGCCTCAGTTCGCTGGCCGTCATCGATGCTTTTTGTGCTGACCAGAAGTTACATCAACAACGGGGCGAAACCGACAACTCCCGGAGATATTAGACGCCAAGGCGAAACCGACAACTCCTGGAGATAATATTAGACGCCAAGACGAACCGACAACTCCCGAAGCTCGACGAGTGAGTCAAATCGACAAGTCCCAGAGCTCCGCGAGTCAAAACGACAACTCCCGGAGCTAGGCGGGTCACTCAAACGGACAACTCCCGGACCTCTGCGAGTGAGTCAAACCGGACAGTCTTTTCAGTTGCCCAGTCCAGTACGCAGACACCTAAATACGGAGTATCATGCTGCTCTTCGGAGGGAGCCTTCAGTCAGCATACCATACGGTCTCCGAAAGGTCCGTTGGGCTTTTCGGGGTCTCCAATGGGCCTGTTAGTCGTCGGTCCCGGAGGCCCTAAGGGAGGTCACAGGCCCCCAGCATTCCCCTACCCGAACCGCTGGGGCGTTGCTACTGCAGGCATCAAGTGAAATCGGATTGCTTTTGCACTCACGATCCCACGCGCCAAGGAACATTCCTGGTGCCACTCTTAAGAAGCGCTCCACATTTGTATGGTGTTTTGAACTGAAATAGGCATCTTGAAGGTCATTCAGTGCAGTTCAAGGCCCTCCATTCTAATCCATAAATCCCTAGTCTCTGAGCACACGCCCGCGAAGACGTGCAGACTATTTTGCGCAATCCACTTTAAAGCCATTTAAGGCCGCGACGCCACATCAACGTCATTCAAATTCTGCCAACCCACAGGCCATGCGGCGTTCAAGGTTTGGAAAAATATTATCATCGAGCCGTTCAGACCTGACGTCCGTCAACACGATTTCCAGATAACGGGGACGTCAAATGGCTCTAAATGTTGAGCAAGCCGTGAAGTTTCAATCACGGATCACGTTTTGTACTACACAATATAAGACGTTGGACGTAGTTGCTAATTATAACGGCAGAGGACTTGTAATTGAATACGCAAGTTGTGAAGTGCATCTGCGAAGAACATTATGCATACAGAGGTATTATGCATGCATTATGCATAACGTTCAACTTCTTGTATGATGTAGCGCAAAACATGAGTTGTCATTGCAACTTGCACAGCTTGCTCAACATTGATTGAGAGCCAATTGACGTTCACATTTAGAAATCGTGCTCACGGACGCAATATCAGAACGGCTCAAGGACAGCATTCTTCTTGGCCTTGAACTTGAATGGAGTGGCTGGATTTGAATGACGCTGCTATGGCGTCATCCATGTCTGAATGGCCTTAAAATAGTCTGCATGAAATAGCCTCCACATTTTCGCGGGCCTGCAATTTGAACAAAAACAAAATGCAAAGCACGGTGCTATGTTACGCACTGCTGTCGGAATGTGACAAGTTACGTCTGCGTTAGCCCCAGATATGCCTACGAGACATTCTACCAAACGTCTTGAGATTTACTTTATTGGAGAGAACGGCTCAAAATCACTTGAAAACAAGTACTGAAAAACTCGGAACGTGATACCTTTCGCACGTAAAAATCCCCTTAAATGCAATCCCATGGTGACGTCACCATGAGATTGCCAAACCTACTTCAGACTAGTTTAACGCCACGCCCCCCCCCCCCCCGCGGTTGTGAAAGCCAGGTAGTTTCCCGAGATCCTTGCGGGGGCCCATAATGACACTGCTGCTTAAGCCGGGGAGAAGTAGAGTGAACGCTCTTGATTACCACCCCATCGCCCTGACATTTTCGCTTTGTAAAGTTATGAAGAGGCGGGTAAATATGCGGCTAACATGGATTCCAGAGCGCCAAACATTTTTTGCAACATACAGCGTAGTTTCGGAAAAACGGAAGCACCGTCGGCAAAATTTTGACTCTTGATACTGCGACACGGACCGGTTGCGGAAATGTCATGCCGGGCAATTTTTTAGATAGAAACGCTTAAGATACGACACGGAAACATTCGACTATGCTGAAGTTTTCGATTGTGGTGTTGGCAGCGATGTAGGCATCGTTTTCAAAAGCTTCTTAAATGACTGATTTTGGGGTGTTGGCGTTGGTTCCTATCT